GAAATTTTGAAGAAAATTGAGAAAATTCTCATTGTTTTTTGTACACTTCTACCCGAATTCATAATAGTAAAATTCTACACTCAGCTGAAAAAAAGCAAAGATATATTCCTCCAACACTGATCACTTACAACATGGCATGTAACTCTCACAAGATTAACTCAGTGGGTGGTATTATAAAAATGCTACTTATACCTCGATCATGCGGAATTCAGGACTATTATGAGAAGTCTTATGAACTGTTGATTTGCTCATCTTGCATGTGCTTGTACCGTTAGTCCTTAAATAAAAAAAAATAAAAAATGAAAAAAAATAGAAAAAATGAAAAAATAAAAAATACCAGAAAATAACAAAAAATACCACAAAATAACAAAAAATAACAAAAAAATAATAATACAAAAATAAAAAAAATAAAAAAAACAGCAAGTCAATCTTCAACTAACCTATTCGCCTTAGTATCTCCGGAACGAGCCTTAGCTCGCTGATAGACGCCGCTTCATGACGACTCGAACGTGACGCTCTCTCACCATCGCCACATACTTCACCTCCCTCCATATCTGAGATCAAAGACTCCCGTACGACGGTATAGGGGGGGGGGGGGGAATATGCATATGATCAACTACATATGAAAATTCCGAGGAATTTTTCGGGGAATTTTACTTGTCGTTTCTATACACTTCTACTCGAGTTCGTATGTAAACTCCCGAGCTCAGCTGAGGACATCGCACATTCATTTCTCCAATTACTTACCCTCGTTTTCCACGTCCTCAGATCTATTCACGCATCGTCTGAGCATTCTGAACATTTTCCCCCGAGTCTCGATGGTCAACGGCGTTACACAAGATGCCGCTGGTGAGGAGGCCAGCAAGCACCCGTGAATCTGATGAGGATATTGCCTCCCGTTGTAAAGTGTACACCTTCGAAATATGATGCATGCTCGATCGAGCAACCTGTTCAGTGTTGGAATATATGTTCGCTTTCCTCAGCTGAGCTCAGGAGTTTCCTCATAAAACAAAGGAGTTTTTATGTGAAATCGGGTGAAAATGTATAGTAATAATGTAATGTATGTAATAATTTCCCAAAATTTTCTCAGAATTTTCATACTCTCGCCGACATACCTAGTTGACCATGTGCATATTTTTCAACACTGTATCTGTTCCTGCGAAAATACAATTACAGGCGCTTTGAAGCACAATAATGATGATGTTAAATTACGAGAATATTAACTATTGTATTTCGTTAAGTAATATTTCACGTTCATACAGATGTTGACCAATACCCTAGTCACTTGCTCTCCTACTTCAGCATGTTCGGACATGGAATGCTCATGGATTCACCTGCTGTGTGAATCTTTACCCTTATTGAGCAATGCTCATGGAACAAATAATATCGAAATATTTTAATTCTTACAAGACTCCAACGAAAATTCCATATGTGGATGATTTTCTGCCCTCCAAAGTTTAGTAAATTCCTACCAATTCAGTCGGGCTAAGACCAGCAAATCGGCGCCCTTGACCAGCCTCCTCAAAGAAGGTAGCACTAATTCTACCAGCGAGAGCACATACAGCGTTGCCCTCCGACGGCTCCTTTTTCATGCGACCAACCAGAGACGCTAAAAGGTGAATATAAGCGTAGAGCACCTGAAAGGTTTCTCACACGCGCTTCTTCCAATTTGAATTTGACAGTGCAGAGGCATTTTAATAAGCCTATCAGTCGCCACTCGAATGAAAAGGTCTCTGTAGTAGCGCCGAGCGTGGCCACTGAGGATCTGAAATAATGAAAGTGATGGTATTATAATGGAGTTTCACTCTAGTGATATGATAAACACTAGTGAAAAAGTATATTTTTAGCGACTATCGCAAATATCGTTTTACGCCACTTCACGTGAAGCGAGTGAAACTTTACTGTTTGGAAGCACGACAAGTCTATAATCAAATCTGAGTTTATAATTTCAAGAACTCAACGAGATGAACAGGTCCCGGGTTCGAACCCTGCAGCCCCCTCCACTTCCACACTCACCCCTGCATATACCATCGCAGCGAAGACGTCCCTCAAGCCTTCATCCGTGAGGTCCGTCAATCTCGATGCTACTTGTTCTAACATCTCATCCGATACACGGAGGCATTCACGTCTGTTATGAAAAAAGTGGTGACTGGTGACACCATCATACACCGGCCTATCACCTCCGTCTGGCCAAGACTCCGTACACTTCCCCTAACTCTTGAGCTGGCATCGCTCCGCCCTCACACATTCTCCTCGTCTCCTCAGCAATCCTCGTTACCACTGGCTTCTCAATTTCGCCAATCTGAGGAAATACGTCGACCTTTTCACAGTGGTGTAGCAGAGGCCTCCCAAACCGTTGATAGAAGACAAGTTAACTAGTAACGTTAACTTCATTAATGGATAGTACAACTGGACAACTCGATAGCGTTAAGAAGTTACTAATAGTGAACTCTGCAAAGATAACGCATAGTAAAAGTGTAGAAAATTGTGCACATGGTCAACTACATGTAGTGGTGACACTGTGACAGTTGCGGGGAAATTTTGGGAAATTCTTGAGGGTTTCTGTACACTCCTAACCAAAGCCATTTGTAAACTTCTATTATTGCTGAGGAAATCGAGCATATATTTCAACGCTGCGTGGTGACACACAGAACGTATCACCCTCATTATTACCACATCTTCGTTGTAAGTCACCAACAGAGCCAGAGCCACAGGTCCTTCCTTGATCGCCTCTTCTACTTGTTGCATCGACTGTGCCAGAGACCTAGCCGACAGCCTCGGTACTGTCGCTTGAGCTAGCGAGTGGAACGATGAGGACGTGGAGGTGCTCAAATTGATCAAATGATTCCGCATGTAATAAGCTGGGTAGCAGAACAAAGAGAACGTATAACCCTTGAGAGTTGAGGGAGGTGTGGTATGAGAGGTTAATAATAAATACTCAACACAACACCAAACTGATA